GAATTTCTTAGGTATTCTCCCATCCCCCCAAAGGATGTTAAATTTAATTACATTATGGTTGCCATTACTGAGCGGTTCATCTATAGCAGAGGTGGGCAAACTATGGCCCGTGGGCCACATCTGGCCTGCGGGACCCTCCTGCCCAGCCCCTGCGCTCCTGGCCTGGGTGGCTAGCCCCTGGCCCCTCCCCTGCTGTCCCCCTACCCCCGCAGCCTCAGCGCACCGCGTTGCTGGTGCAATGCTTTGGGGGGGCTGGGCAGTGCAGTTGCAGAGCCACGGCCTGACCCGGTGCTCTGGGTGGCCCGGCCGTAGCGCTGCCAGCCACTGGCGCTCCAGGCAGCGCAGTAAGGGGGCAGGGAGCGGGGGGTTGGATAGAGGGCAGGGGAGTTGGGGGTGGTGGTCAGGGGGCGGGGGTGAGGATGGGCTCAGAGCAGGGAACAGGGGGGTTGGATGGGGGAGGGGTCCCGGAGGGGCAATCAGGAAGGAGGGGGGGGTTGGATGGGGCGGCGGGGGGGCAGTCAGGGGCAGGGGTTTCGGGGGTGGTCAGGGGACGGAGAGCAGAGGGTGGTGGATGGGGTAGGAGCCCTGGGGGGAGGGGACCATCAGGGGGCAAGAAATGTGGGGGGTCAGATAGGTGGTGGGGGCCGGGCCACACCTGGCTGTTTGGGGAGACACAGCCTCCCCTAACTGGCTCTCCATACAATTTTGAAAACTCAATGTGGCCCTCAGGCCAAAAAGTTTGCTTGCCCCTGATCTATAGTCATCTCTTGGACTGTATTCTGTGCTTCATTTAGGACTAAATCTAGAATTGCCTCTCCTCTTGTGGGTTCCAGGACTAGTCGCTCCAAGAATCAGTCATCAGTGATGTCTAGAAATGTTATCTCTGTATCCCATCCTGAGATGAAGTATACCTGGTCAATATGGGGATAGTTGAAGTCCCTCATTGTTGTTGGGTTTTCTGTTTTTTGTAGCCTTTCTGATCTCCCTGAGCATTTCACAATCACTGTCACCATCCTGGTTAGGTGACTGGTAATATATTCCTCCTGCTAGACTCTTATTAGTCAAGCATGGGATTTCTAGCCATAGAGATTCTGTGGTACAGTTTAATTCATTTAAGATCTTTGCAATATTTGACTCTCCTTTCTTTCACCTTTAGTGCCACTTCCCCACCAGCATGATCTACTCAGTTGTTCCTACATATTTTGTCCCTGTGGCCATTACCATGTGCCATTGATTATCATCGTTTCACCAAGTTTCTATGATGCCTGTTATATCAATAACCTCATTTAACACCAGGCACTCAAGTGCACCCATTATAGTATTTAAACATCTACCATTTGTATACAAGCCCTTATAGAATTTGTCAATATTTACTTGTCTGCCTTCATGTGATGTAATTGAATGGAACTCTTTTTTATTTAGCTGTTTCTCTTCCATTCCTACCTGTACTTTATCAACTTCTATCTCTTTACTGGGATACAGAGTATCCCCTTTAATAAATCATCCCTGAAGGATGTCTCTGTCCAAACCGTGTGCTCCTCTGCACCTGCTGGCTTTCTCCCAGTCCTTAGTTTTAAAACTTCTCTACAACCTTTTTAATTTTACATGCCAGCAGTCTGGTTCTGTTTTGGTTTAAGTGGAGCCCATCTTTCCTATATAGGCACCTCCTTTCCCAAATGATTCCCCTGAGCCCCACCTGGCGTCCCAGTGACTGGAGGAGCCTCGGGCTCGCTGGAGCGCCAAGCTCCTAGCCCCGCACACAGCTGGAGGAGTCCTAGGCCAGCCAGAGCCCTGAGCTCCCACCCCCCCCATCATGGCTGGAGGAGCCCCAGGGTGGCTGGAGCCCCCCACAGCTGCATTGCGCCTCCTCTCCTGAGATCCCAGCCACCTCTCGGGGAAAAATGTCTCTCTGCTGGACCAACCAACCAGCCTGAGCTCTTTATATGCTCCATGCAGGTTCCGGGGCAGCCGAGTAATCTCTCTGGAGTCCAGGGAGATTACTGATGAACCCAGGAAGCTGAGTAGCAGATACTGCCTCCTCAGCTGCCCCGGAACCTGCATGGAGCATAATAATAAGCAAAAACTTCGCACTGCAGACCCCACAACTGGTGTCTGGCATCTGTGGCTGTGCCGAGGAGGCTCAGCCTTCCCTGGGCTATTATATCCACTACCTATGCCATCATCTCATCCACACACTGAAACCCTGCAGTTCTACCTGTCTATCTGGCCCTGTGTATGGAACGGGAAGCATTTCAGAAAATGCTACTGTGTGGGACTTTAATCTCTTTCCTTGCAGCCTAAATCTGGCCTCCAGAACCTCTCTCCTATCTTTTCCTATGTCATTGGTACATATATGGACCATAACCACCAGTTCCTCTCCAGCACGTAAGGCTGTTTTAGATGTCTCAAGAGGCCCACAACCTTTGCACCCAACAATTCACCATGTTGTTCTCCTGGTCATCACAAACCCAACTATCTATATTTCTAATAATCAAATCCTGCTATAACCTGTCTCTTCTGAATGACTGGGGTCCCCTCCCCTGGAGAGGATCCTATGACATCATCTGGAAGGAGGATTCTAACTATGGGATCATTTCCATCCACTCCAGCTTGATTTTTTTCCTTCTTCAAGACTTTAATCATCTTCAACTGCACAAAGGCTGTCAGACAGGGGGTGGGACCACTCTACTGTGTCACAGAAAGTCTCATCTGTGGACCTCTCTGTCTTCCTTAGATCCTCCAGTTCAGCCACTCTGATCAAGAGCCCATGTTCAGTCTCTGAGGGCCATGAGTTGCTTGCACTGAATGCACACATACCCACCTGCCCATAAGGCAGATAATCGTACCTGCTGCATTCAGTGCAATAAACTGGATAGCCTCCTGACTCTGCTGCTGGACTTCAGCCTGCATTATTTTTACTCTTTTTACTACTTTTTCTTTTCTTTTGTTGTTGTTTGGGGGAGGGGGTTGCTTTTGTTTTTGGAGGGGGGTGTTTATTGGCCTAAATTTAGAACTTTAGAATGTGTGTGTTTGGGTGTAGCTGGCTCTCGTACTCCCTTGCATGAAACCACCTGTTCACTCGGTCCTCTGGTCAGTTAGGAACTGTTTTTGTTTTGTTTTAAAGCCACTGTTCTCCCTGAGTTAGTCCCACCCTCTAGTCAAGGGATCTTAAAGGGATTAGGGATCAAAGGATAGCAGGCTATTCATGAAGCATCATGAATTAAGGTTCTGTGAATAAAAGGTTTAGGGTTTGAGCTATGGGCCAGATGTGATGCGTTTTCTTAGTGGTGAAGTTATCACACCTTGAAGTGGTGAATGGGGGACAGTAGGTGGGAGGCAGGACATATATACTAATAGAAGACTTTCTTAAACACTTCTAACACAAGGTGTTTCTACCCAAACCATGTTAGAATACCATTCAGTGGAAGCTAATCTCAGGCTATGTCTACCAAGCATTGGCCTGCTAAGCCCAGGGTTGTGAGTTCAATCCTTGAGGGGGCCATCTAGGGAACTGGGGCAAAAATTGGGGATTGGCCTGCTTTGAGCACGGGGTTGGACTAGATGACCTCCTGAGGTCCCTTCCACTCCTGATATTCTATGAAATGTTCCCTCTAATTTTTTACATCCATGTGCATAATGTTATATGCATCATTATGGAGGTGATGTGTGGTGGGAGTAGGGCTGAGGGATTTGGAGTGTGGGATGGGGCTCGGGCTGGGGCAGAGGGTTGGGGGTGGTAAGGACTCTGGCTGGGCGTTCAGGCTCTGAGGTAGGGCCAGGGATGAGAGGTTTGGGGTGCGGGAGAGGGCTCAGGGCTAGGGCAGAGGGTTGGGGTGCAGGGGGGAGGGCTCTAGCTGGGGGTGCAGGCTCTGGGGTGGGGCCAGGGATGAGGGGTTTGGGGTGCAGGTTGACCCGGAGCTGCAGCAGGGAGAGAGGACTCCTCCCAGCCCTCTCTGGCTGCAGCAGTGCAGGGCCAGGGGAGAGGCGCCTCTCCCTCGGCCATGGCAGCCTTGGTGACTCTCCCCAGCCATGGCAGTTTCAGGGCTGGGGCCGTGGGAGAGGCACCTCTTCCCTCTACACGGCTCTTGGTAGTCTGCTTTGCGACCACGGAGCTTAGACGGAATTTAGGTCTAAACTACAGCCTATGTCAGCATAACTTGTGTCACTCGGGGGTGTCAATACACCATCCTCCTGAGTGACATAAGTTAGATCTACATAAGCGCTCATATGCACAGTGCTATGTTGGCAGGAGAGCTTCTCTTGCTGACATAGCTTCTGCACTTTGCAGAAGTGGTTGTTTTTTTAATGCTGTCTCCTATCGGCATAGTGTCTTCACCAGACGCACTGCAGCGATGCATCTGCATCAGTACAACTGCAGCGCTGTATGTATAGACATATACACACAAAAAGCACCCACTGAAATCATGTATTTGAGGTCAGAATTTGATCCACTGTAGCTGATATATAAAGTCAGTTTCAGAGTAACAGCCCTGTTAGTCTGTATTCGCAAAAAGAAAAGGAGTACTTGTGGCACCTTAGAGACTAACCAATTTATTTGAGCATGAGCTTTTGTGAGCTACAGCTCACTTCATCGGAGTCAAAGTGTTACTTGAAGATTTATACTAAAATCCCATGCAGGTTCTACTGTTTGTAGTGTCACAGGCATAATGATACATTTGCACTTAGTCTTTTCAGAAATGACTGCAGAGAGCATAACACTTATTTTTCTTTTACTGGTTTTAAAGAATTTATATAGCTCAAGGGGTGCAGAGTTCAAAGTACTGATTGTTTAACGTCTTTCTCTCTCCACCCCCCTCTCCACAACTCATCCTCACTTCTGTTGCACAGTGTCCTGCTGCATTTCTGGGGCTGTAAATATTTCTGTTCACATTCAGTTTCCAGTTTTCTTTTATAAATTTAAATTTATATATTTCCTTAGGACTCATATTTTATTCAAGGAGTTGCATTTTATGACTCTTCTCTGGTATCTTCCCCTGCAGCTGCTTGGCTTCTTATTACACGAGTGAAATATATACACTTTGATATTCACAGAGCACGTTCCACCATTACTAAGCAAACATAATGCAATAATAGACTTATGCTGAACTGCAACTTGATTTGAAGAGGTGAGTTGACTATGTACTCGGTGGGTATCAATTGTTTTGTGGATAAGTTAGTCCAGTTCTATAATTTTGTCACATTTTAAAAGTCCTGTTTTTATTAACTCGTAAATGTCGATATATTAATTGCCTGTTTTCAACAGCAGATAGAGGTTGTTAGCTGCATGTTCACTTACCGCTGCATTTGTGAGAAGCAATACTAATACCCAGTTTTGCTAAAGCCAAAATATTCACAACAATACTGCAGATAAAAGCTATGGAGTTTTAAAAAGTGGCCCACTGCTAACTCTCTCATTGCAACTACGTGATAAGTTTCAAGTTTTTACTTGCGATGGTCTCCGCTAACAAGCAGTTCAGCTATTGAGGCTAATGAAGTACAGACAACTATAGAGTCCAGCTATTTTTCCCATTCAACTAAAGTACAAATAGAGCTGGCTGTTCTGCAAATTAATAAAAACATTTGATTAGATGAAATGAACCATTTCATTTCAATTTCAAGCTTTTTAAAATGGTAAACTTTTTATAAAAATTGAAGTAAATTTTGAAAGTCGTTTCAAATTGAAATATTTTGTTTAGAAAATGTCAAATCACAATGTTTTGAGTTTTCTGAATGTTTTAGGGTTTTGTTTTGGTTTTTTTTTTTCAATTGAACCAATTTGGTGAAACCCACACGATTTCATGAAATACTTCGGCTGATATGAATCTCTATTTTTTGAGGTTTCAGCTGAAAAATTTCATCCAGCTCTAATGATAAATTCCCACTGACTTCAATGGAAGCAGGATTAGGCCAAGAGTTAAGTTTATTTAAGTACATATAATATGCCAATTAGGTGTGGCTGTTAGGCTTCCCTCGAGTTGTCAATAGGAGCCCTGATTCAGTTGTACCATGGATAGCTCTGGGATGTCCCTGGTTGTATAACAGCGATATAGTGTCTGACTGGACACTGGCATGGAAAAATTAAGAGTGAGAATTATTTCAGCTGTCTCTTGTCGAATCTGAGCCACTGTGAATAAATAACAAAAGAATCACTGGGGCAAAGAGAGCAAGCAAGCAGGAGAATGAGCACTCACCTGGGAGGTGGGAAACCCAGGAAGAAGTTCCCTTATGCCACTGACCAATTTTATCCACCGTGGAACAGCTTCAACAGGAGTGTTTGAGGGTGCTCTACAAACAGCTTTCCCATAGCCCCATGGTTAGACCACTCACCTGAGGGGTAGTCAACCTCAGTTCAAATCCCTTCTCCCCCTCAGGTGGAGGGGGGACTTGAACCAAGGATCTTCCACATCTCACATAAATCCCCTAATCCCTGGAAGTTATGGGGGAGGCTGTGATTTTCCTCACATCTCATCCCCAGTTGTAAGCATGCCAGTAGGGGCTCAATTCAGTAGGTGAGGTCTGAGAATGCTTATTGGATCAGACCCTACAGGTGAGTTGGCAGAGGAACGCCTATCTTCCCCCAGTTCGTGCATTGCTCTGGGTCTGGATGCCTGGCGTGGGGCTGCAGTGCACTTTAAGGGCAAGTTTAGGCTCTTACAAGTTCAGGGACAGCTGACTGGGGATTCCGTGAATGTCACTGGGTCCTGATTCTGGGATTTAGGTCCCTTAAGTGGCAGTTGGCTACCTAAACCCTTTTGTGAATCTATCTCTTCTCTCTCACTCTTTCAACCTACTTTTCTCCATTACAGTCTTTATTGTAATTTGTACTTTTAGTTCAGTAAATAACTTTATTTCTTTTGAATATTTAAGAAGTCCCCCTAAATAATGGAAAGGCTAAATGCTATTACCATGTTTTGGTGAATAAGATAATTCTGTAAAAGACCTAAATGTGAGAGATTATTGGAGCTAAATACGAAAATTGTAATGAAAGAAAAGCTGTTCTTTAGAAAAAGAAACCCAACAAACCTGGTGTGATAGGTTCCCCACACTGTGCCACTTGGAACGGGGGTACCGCTGAGCTCCCCTGATCCACCAGCCTGGGTTCCCTTTACACTGTGCTGCTATGACAGGCTTTCAAGCTCCCTTCTAGCGCACACACAAAGGTAGGGCCACACCCAGCTGCAGTTTCACACAGATGCTGAGATTAGCTCTGCATGGGAAAGTCAGCTAAGGAATAGCCCAGCACTCAAGTGCACACCCCCTCTGGAGTGTAACCCAAAACTGTATCATTTTGCACTGCGCAGAGAACTATACAGTGCAAGCTCATTGAAATTCACCCCCTTCCCTCAATGTGGAGGAAGATATGCACAGCTTTTTGCCCCCCAGTTATGAATTCCACAAACTGGTTTTAGAGAAAACAAAACCAAGTTTATTAACTACAAAAGATCAATTTTAAGTGATTATAATGGATAGCAAACAGGTCAAAGCAGATTACTGAGCAAATAAAACAAACATGCTAACTAAGTTTAAGGTCGCTAAAGAAACTGGTACAAGTTGCCAATTCTCACCCTAAATGTTGTTGTTTTAGGCAGATTGCAGAGATTCTTGAAAGCCAGATGCACTGGCCTGAAGCTTAAAGTTTCAGATACTTCATTCACAGGCTAGACAGCCCTCCAGCCTGGGCTGAGCTTTTCTCCCCCTCCCCTTCTTCCCCAATCTTTGTTTCTTAGATGTTTCCAGCAGTCATCCTGGGTGGGGATTCAGGGAAGAACGAATCACAATTATGTCACCCCCTGCCCTAAATTGGTTTTACATGTGCCGGGAATCCTTTGTCTTCCAATATGATTCCCACCCCCGGTCAGTGGGAAAGTACTAATTTTATCATGGAGTCCAGTGCCAGGTGATCACATGACCTGCAGCCATAACTCAAAGTTATTTGCAGCGTCCCCAGCGAGACTTCTCTGTGGGTGATAAAAAATATCTTCTGAGACCTATTGTTCTCTCTCATGGCTCTTCCTCACAGTGGGCCATCTAGACTGATTGCATTCTGACTGGTGGATGTTCCCCAGGTGTAAACACGCTTGTAATTGATATATAGCCAATATTTCTAACTTCAGATACAGAAATGATACATGCACACAAATAGGATAATCATATTCATTAAATCATATCCTTTCCAATGATATCTCGCATGACCCATCTTGCATAAATACATCTTAGTTATGCCATAATCATATTATAACAATATTTCTATGAAGAATATGGGATGAAGTGTCACACCTGGTCACCTGTAGCAGGGTGGTCACCCCGCTCTGGCCCTGAAGGGGTTAAAAGAGCCCTGGGAAAGGGCTGCCCCAGGGAACCAGTAGGGTAGGCTGATTGGGGAAGCAGCCACAGTTGGGTCCATGCCCCAATCAGGCCACAGCTGGCCCTATAAAAGGGCTGTGAGCCAGGAGCTGAGACTCTCTCTCTCGCTAGCTAGCTAGCTCTTGAGAGAGGAGGACCTGGCTACTTGGGACAGAGCAGTGCTGGGGAAAGGGAGGAGAGGCTGTGGGCCTGGTCAAAGGCCAAATCAGGTACTGGAGTTGCAAAGGTGTAGCCCGGGAATAGGCAAAGGCAGCAGGTCCTACCACATTGCCAATGATGAGTGGTTTACAGACTGCAGTCTGCCCCAGTGAGCAGGGTCTAGATGATGACTAGCAATAGCCACTGAGGCAAGGTGGGTTTCGAGGGTTGGGGGTTCCCCTGGGAGGGGAGACCCAGATTGTGGGTTTCTGCTGGGGGAAGAACCCTGAGGTAGAGGGGCACTGGGGTCTGGGAGGGAAGTGGGTGCCAGCGGCAGGTGAGACACTGGCCTGCAGAGGGCGCTCCTTAAGCTGGAGAGCTAATTCCCGAGATGACCAGCAGGAGGCGCCGCACCAGTGAGTCATTGCCTCACTACAAAACCATAAAAAGATTTTATAACATACAAACGTTTGGATGTTCTAAGTGATCATTTCCTATATTTTATACATGAGTTTCATGCAGCATTGTTTTCCCTCAAATACCACATGAAAATTACTGATATGACAGGAGAAAAGGTTTAGCTTTACTAGCTCACTGATATATTAATGGCTTTTGAAACATTCCCTGAGCAAAATCAGCTTTAGCTGACAGTGAAAAATGACCACTTGCAAGAATGCTGCTATACAAAGTGGTTTTTAACTCTGCCAGTTTCATTTGTTATCAACTCAAACCTGTTCATTTGTCTGACTGCTTGTGAATTTCCCTGAATATATTAAGTGTCTTGAATACTCTGATGGAAATAATCCAAAATGTCATTGTCTTTCCTTAGGCACTGATTCAGTTAAACATTTAAGCACACTCTTAATTTTAGACATATGCTTCCATATGCTAAGCACGTACTTATGTGCCCTGCTGAACCAGGCCCTTAAACTACTTTTGTGCCTTGTCTACCAATTCAGTATTTTTTCTGACTCATTGCTTGTGTACAGTACATCTGTCCCACATTATTTTAACTCTTTCTTCAGACCTGTTCCTAGCACTGTACAAATAGCAATCATATGAGTTCGAACAGTTGCTATTAGCAAACACTTTTATATCTTGTCAGTAAGCTGCTAAGTGCAAATAGTCATGATTAAATAACATACTTAGTGATTATATATTCTGTTTTATTGCACTTAACCACTTCCTCTTGTGACTTGCTTAGGACCGCAGTTATTGAATGGGAGTGACTATCATTGCATTTAAAAAGAACAATTTGTTCAGAAACACTGAATAGAGCAGTTGACTTAACTGTGAGTGCATCAGACTTCAAAATCTTTGGTTCATCTTCTGTTGATGGAGACACACTGTGGATTGGCTTAATCCCTTGCATATATATACAGACTGGAAGGCTGAAGTATTGGCTTTGCTCTGGGAAACATGTAGTATGAAAAATGGGAGGTGTACAGAGAGGTATAGCAAAAATATAGAAATGTGAAAACTAGGGCCAGTCAGAAATTGTCTGATTGAATATTTCTCCATCAGAGAACACCATATTGTCAAGTTCTGTGGGACCTTGTTAATTCTGATGGAAAACAGGCAGAAACTCTTCCTGGTTTCTTGCCAGCTCACCTGCCCAGCTCCCTGGCAGCCTACCTGCAGGCTGATAGAGACCTGAGAGCTGGCTTCTCAGGCTCATGAATCTTTCACAGCCCATGATTCCAAGGTCCCCGGCTCTAGGGAAGCCCACCAGGCAGACTGCCCAGATCCAGGGTTACGTGACTTTGGGCTGCTGCAGAGCCAAGGCTCCCCTGACCTCTGGTTCCCAAGGACCCCTTGCTGCTTCCCAAATAACTAAGAAAAAATCCCCCCCCCCCAACTTCCATTCCACTACAGAACAAACTTTTTTTTCAAAAATCTCAATGTTTTGGTGAATGGAAAATCTAATTCCATCTCAGCTCTAATGAAAACCTATGCATACCTTAATAGAACAAACTCCACTAACATCAGGAAATGTATCTTCCTTCTCATTAGGCTGACATATTTTGATATTTTATTATAGACTTCACAATCATTGAGAAGCAATTTGCTAAAGTAAACACAGCTTTATTTTGTACACTTTAGGAAAGTTCTCGTATGAGCACAGGTTGAAATGACTGGAATTTCTTACTCGGAGAAGAGATGTGGAAGGGCAACATGACATACTGGGTCAGACCAAAAGTCCATCTAGCCCAGTATCCTGTCTTCCGAGTGCCCGGTGCCGCAGAAGCAATGAACAGAACAGGTAATCATCAAGTGATCCATCCTGTCACTCATTCGCAACTTCTGGCAAAAGTGACAAAAGTGTATAAAATAATTAATGGCATAGAAAAGGTAGATCAAGGAGCTTCTGTCCTGTCCCATACTAGGACAAAAGGGAACTGACAAAATTAAATGGAAAGGTGGCAAATTCAAAACCAATACTTTGCCACACAGCATAATTAGTCTATGGAATTTACTGCTACAGGATGTCACTGAATCCAAGAATTTAGCAAGATTCAAAGAGGGATTGAACATGTATATGGGTAACAAGAATATCCAGTTAGAATGGTTAATTCTTAAGAGTTTTGGAAGGGATATAAAATCTCATGCATCAGAATTTATGCCAATTGCCTATTTGGGGTTAGGCTGAGAATGCTTAATGGGAGGCATAAACTCACATTTGCCTACTACTGGATTGTTTTCATCTTCCAAAGGATCTGGCATTGGCTGCTGTCTGAGATATGACACTGGGCTAGATGCACAGTACATTATGTACAACCGATATTAAATCTCCTCAAAAGCCCGCTCCTGCTGCCACTGAAATCAATAGCGATTTTGCTACTTAATTGAATAGGAGCGGCAGCATGCCCTCATTATGTGTTAATTCATCAGTGGCTATTAACTTACAGCAGTATCACACCAGTGTTCCATGTTCTGTATTGACTGCTTATTTTTTCCAGGTGGAGTTTACACTGTTTATCTATAAAGCCATAAATGGCTTGAGACCAGCATTCCAGAGACCTGTTTCTCTCTCTCTCCATGGGATAATGCCACAGTTGCCATCAGTGAAGACATTCAAACTGGATTTCTCTTGGTCACTACGGTACATCTACACCGGTCCAAAAAAGAACCCAACCAAAAAACAATGGCAGCAAGTCTCAGAGTACAGGTCAACTAACTTGGGTTCATGTTACATAGTTAAAAATAATGGTGAGGGGTTCTTACAACAACATTTTTGGTGGCCTCAGAGTGCAGCCACCAATTTTTGCCGGTGTACAATTTTTCTAAGCCGGAGCCTTGCCACCCCCAGGAAGGTGGGTCAGGAACTCACTGGCCCTCTGGAGAGTCCCAGGTTCCTCCAGCTCTGTGCATTACCAGGTCCATGTGTCTCCAGAGGCGTTGCCCAGAGTTCCTGAATTAGCTAATCATCTGCTTTTAAAAGCCAAAGTAACGCAGTTGTTGCAGACAACTCAAAAAGATGTAAAAAAGCAAGTTCTCCAAATAACACATACAAATAAAAATATAATGAAAAGAGGTAATTCTAAAAGAAAGCTTACTGCAGATCATTGGTATAATGTTTTTACAGGCTGGTTTCCCACTTCCAAAGGTATATTGTCAATTACGCTTTATCCATTGTTAATTGTGTTGGTATTATCCAGCGTTTGCCTAATTAAAATAATACGTATGTGTTGCTAAATAAAAAAAAAGTTGTTAAATTGCAACCACAAGCTCAAATTGTCTCTCAATATGTAGCTATAAAACAATTATATAAAATATGACCCAGTCAAGAATTGTTCTTGAGGGGTCAAAAGGGGGATATGTAGGGGTAGGATTTTATATCTGTATTAAAGGCCATAGTTTACCCTGACAGCCACCCTTTTTGAATAGCAAAAAGGGATGACCCTCTGGGGCACTGTTTTTAGGATAAGCTGTATTATAAAAGATGGGGTCTTGTTTTCTGTATGCATTATAAACTTCTCTTTAGTCATTTCTTTGTTTTAAAGTTTAGTGAGTAAAAGACAGGGTCATGTATTGTGTCTATGTTAATAAAATTGGAGGAATGCTAAAATTAGAGCTCCAAGCCACAGTGTACATTGTTTTAATTATAAAATTTAGCAAGGCTTAATTTACAATGTCTTTTGCTTAGCATAAAACACTGCTGTTTGTATACCTTTTAAAGGTCTCTGTAAAAGACTGTTTGTGTAAATAAGAAGTGCATGCCCTCCCCCCCCCCCCCAAAAAAAGAAAAGTGTAAAGGCTATTGTCCAAGCCAGATGGTCAAGGGAGAAGAAGTAAAAAAATTAACCAATTTATCGAAGCCATAAAACCATCAATGCGCATCCATGACTGAAAAAAGGCAGATTAACAACCCTAAAGTGGAGGCTGGCACCCCTAAAGACAAGACAATTTAATTAAACCAAAAGAACAGAATGGCCCTCTCGAAGGTGCTTTAAAATGTTAACATCAGAAGATCATACTGATTAAGGAGTAACCGGTCACAGACTGACACAGCAAAATCCATAAACTTCAACGGAGAAAAAAGACTGTAAGAACAGGGTGCTTTGCCATGGGACTTCAAGTTCGTCTTGCCACTACTCCAGGAGCATCGGATCACCACCAACAGAGCCCTGCTCCCTTCTGCAACCAATCTGACTGGCCACTAGATTGATCCAGACTCTGAACTGGTAACTAGAAACATCGACTTGTGGGACTGTGTGCATGGTGTGTGTGTGTGTGTGTCTGTGACTAAAAAGCATATGCTAACTGCTGTATTCTCAATAAATGTGGCGTGTTGCCTTCTCCCCTATAAGAAATCTCACGCGCTTTGTATAAGCATAACAAGGCTACTTGGTGCAGGGCGCTGATCCCTGCTGGTGGCACCAGCAATCACCACGACAGTGCATCCACGAGAAATAGCTGGATGCTGCAGGGAGGGGCTGCTGCTTTGTCCCCGTCCCCCTTCCCATCTCTGCCTAGAAGGCTGTTGTACCTGCAAAATATCTGCTGGTGGCTGCATTTGAGAAATGCTGATAATGCTCCAGCCCCAGTGGGAACTTCTATGTTGCTATATTTAGCCCTGTACAGCAAGCCTGAGTCAGTTGATCTGGGTTCTGAAACTTGCTGCTGCAGGTTTTTTCAAGTATAGATATTTCCTAAGAGGAAATTTCTGTCAGAGTGTCTCTATGAGTGTATTAACACTTCCTCATTGCTGGTCCAAAATAGCCTCCAGATGCTGAAGTATAGAAATGCTAAAAGATTCATCATTTTCTCTGTCTTTTGGGGCAATGGCTGAGATTGGTATATTTGGAAAGGTAGGGTATTTTAAGTTCTTTGGTTATTGTGCCTTTGTGGGAAGGATAGCTGCAGTTTGGTTTTGTTTGTAACGTGCTAGGTAAGATTTTTGTAGAGCATAACATGAGTACTTTTTTAACAGGCCATGAATACTACATATCTGTATACTTAAGGCAACTGTTGCTGTATTTGTTAAATAAGTACCAGGCTTTAGAACTGTTCATAATGTTATGAACAACAAACCATCAAGAATGGGTTGCTCATAACATTGTTTGAGGGGTCCATCAACTCCTTTTCAACTTTACCTGAGTTTCGCCCTGGTGACCTGTCACCAGACTGCTGTGGTGACCCATCCTGTAGATCCCATGTGCTTCCAAGCCAACTGGGTCTGAGCAGTGCCTAGAGATTTGCCTCTGTTTCTGGATCTTGCACCATCTCCTTGGGATGTGGGATCCACAGTTCAACTGTCCTCAGCCCTGGGACCAGAGCTGAACCTCCCCAGTGGCTTATGCATGCTCCCCCAGAGTTCCACTTCCATGTGCACTCCAGATTATAGCTCCAATCTCTGGGGACCATGTGACAGGCAAAACAAGGAATACTGGCTTCTTAAAGAACACACACTTTACTCTTCAAAAAATACATGAGTGTCAGCTCTATGCAAAACAAGCACCTGAACACAATCCCTCCCTTTGGGGTCCTCAGGATTTCTGGGCATCTTTGGGGTTTTGGTTAGTGTTCTTCAGGGAGGCCAGGAGCTGCCTCCACTTCTCACTGAGTCATCTGCTTCTGGTGATGGTCTGCCCCCTGTCATAGAGAGCATGTCTCTTTTGAAAATCTGTTTGACATCTTTTCCTACTCCTCTTCTATGTTCAGATTTTTCATGCTTCAGCCCTAGGAGGGTCATCAAAAGTCAATGGCTTGGCTGATACCTTTCCCTGGTGGCACAATGAGGGCCATCAACCTCAAATGGCCCCCATTTCAACTTTTCAACCATAGCCAGTTTTCTGCTACAAAATGGATGTTACCATTCCGAATAGTGGTTCATAAAATAAAATGAAATTCATAAATGGACTATAAGGTGGATAGAAAGCTGCCTAGCTCATCAGGCTCAACGGGTAGTGATCAATGGCTCCATGTCTAGTTGGCAGCCAGTATCAGAGTGCCCCAAGGGTTGGTCCTGGGGCTGGTTTTGTTCAATATCTTCATAAATGATCTGGAGGATGGCGTGGATTGCACCCTCAGCAAGTTTGCAGATGACACTAAACTGGGAGGAGTGGTAGATACGCTGGAGGGTAGGGATAGGATATAGTGGGACCTAAACAAATTAGAGGATTGGGCCAAAAGAAATCTGATGAGGTTCAACAAATACAAGTGCAGAGTCCTGCACTTAGGATGGAAGAATCCCATGCACCGCTACAGACCAGGGACGTAGTGGCTAGGCAGCAGTTCTGCAGAAAAGGACCTAGGGGTTATGGTGGACGAGAAGCTGGATATGAGTCAACAGTGTGCCCTTGTTGCCAAGAAGGCTAACAGCATTTTGGGGTGTATAAGTAGGGGTATTGCCAGCAGATTGAGGGACGTGATCATTCCCCTCTATTCGACATTGGTGAGGCCTCATCTGGAGTATTGTGTCCAGTTTTGGGCCCCACACTACAAGAAGGATGTGGAAAAATTGGAAAGTGTCCAGTGGAGGGCAACAAAAATTATTTGGGGACTGGAACACATAACTTATGAGGAGAGGCTGAGGGAACTGGGATTGTTTAGTCTGCGGAAGAGAAGAATGAGGGGAGATTTGATAGCTGCTTTCAACTACTTGAAAGGGGGTTCAAAAGAAGGTGGATCTAGACTGTTCTCAGTAGTAGCAGATGACAGAACGAGGAGTAATGGTCTCAAGTTGCAGTGGAGGAGATTTAGGTTGGATATTAGGAAAAACTTTTTCACTAAGAGGGTGGTGAAACACTGGAATGCGTTACCTAGGGAGGTGGTGGAATCTCCTTCCTTTGAGGTTTTTAAGGTCAGGCTTGACAAAGCCCTGGCTGGGATGATTTAGTTGGTGTTGGTCCTGCTTTGAGCAGGGGCTTGGACTTGATGACCTCCTGAGGTCCCTTCCAACCCTGATATTCTATGATAACTGAGTGCAGAAATCCCCCAGCCTGTCACAAGTTCCAATCAAAATTGCAACCTTTTGTCCAGAAATGGAGCCTTTTGGCCACCTGTCTCCACCAGAGGCCATGTCCTGACTAAGTGGTAGATAAATTGAGGACCCACACGGCAGCAACAGTGTGAAGCTGATGAAATGGATTTGGGTCCATCCTTCAGCACTCAACTGAGGCACTTGGAGAGAGTGATGGTTCAGTGTAGGCCACGTGCTAGTATGGGGAAGCCGTGCCAGTAAGCCTAGTTCTGTTGAATCAAAGAAGACTTTGTTGAGAGGGTCTCAGACTATTCCCTCCTATCCTGGTCTGCCCTGTATAGATGTGTGCTCCTCACTACTTACAGGCCCTCCATTCCCCTTTCACCTCAGTCCCAGTGTTTCAAAATACTAACTTCCCTTCCCTCAAGTCTGAGGTTCTCCCACGTTACCCTTAGGCCCCGTGCTTCCATGGGTGGGTCTCCCCTGCCTATTGCAATTTAATGGTCTCCTTTCTCTTTTCTACATCATTTGATACTCTTTCTTCCCTTTCATGAGCTGAGAGAGGCCTGAGGCAAAGTCAGCACAGAGGAATTTGCCTCTGATGGGGAGCTTTTGTATTTTCACAGTGTGAATATTTTTTTTAATGTTTCATTCTTTATGAACCAGGAAAAACCTCGTGCTTCTGATCACACCCACCAAATCAGGCCATTGCATGTGACTTAGGTGTTTGGCCACCTATCTTCTCCAGTTTGTGACCTGAAAACAGAGATATGTGCTCCCCTGGAACTTGAAGTTAGGGGTCTAGCTCTGTGAGGAAGATGGGGATAAGGACATACTCTTGTCATTGGCATCTTCTATTGGCAAGCTTAGATGGCACCCCGCCTACTGTGATGGCTTTGGAGCACAGTCTAAGGCACCTATATCTCTTCATTCATTGTATAGGATCCTAGGCATCTAACTCAGTGTTGGTCTACACTAATGCTGTAAGTCAACCTAAGTTATGCTAGTTCAGTTACATAAGTTATGTAACTGAAGTTGACGTAACTTAGGTCAACTTACATCAGTGTCTACACCTCACTATGTCACCGGGAGATGCTTTCCCATCGACATAGCGTCCACCTCTCGGGAGGTGGAGTACATACATCGATGGGTAGAGCTCTCTCCCATCGACTTAGCATGTCTTCACCAGACCCACTAAATCGACACCACTGCATCGATCGCAGCAGTGCTGATTTAGCCCATAGCGTAGGCATGGCCTCAGGCTTTGTGGAGTGCACTGTTGTTCTTCTGACTTTCTAGGCACCTAATCCCTTTATGAATCCCATCCCAAGTGGTTTCTAACCTAAAGCTGCCTATCTTGACTATGATATACAGCCTTGTCTAGAAAGACTTGATAAGCTAGGTGGACTTTGCCTTCTAGAATTACTTTTTATGGGAAAACTTTTTCTTGGCTGCATACTAAACAGGATATTAAGGACCTTAGGAGAAATGACTTAAAAGATTCATAGTGATTCAGTATGTGCTGTTCCTTTTCCAGAAAATCATGAACTACAAGATTGAGACAGTATATGGAACATGTCACATGTGTGAAGGTGCTGTCCTTAAGTGTTCTAACCGTGTTCAGTGCATTAACAAATAAACCCTCTTCTCAGGCTTTGTCAATGAACACTAGATGCCCTTATTAGTAGAGTAAATGTCTCATTTGGAGCATCAAGAAGCTGGTGGTCTATAGACATCAGTCCTTGTAGACCTCGGAAAGGGTTACTGATGGACGTGGTAGGATAGTGGTGAAATGTGTCTGGAGGAGCTGGGAATAAATGAAGGGGTGTGTGTGTGTGTGTGAGAGAGAGAGAGATGAGGGGAAAATTAATTTATGAAGGAATTGTGGAGTGGGGTGCCCAGCAGTCCATATGAACTTTAAGTAATTCATCCTCTTTTCCTTCCCAGAGTTTATGCTGTGACCAAATAGGTAGGACTTCTGTGTGGTCTCATATAATCATCTGAAGGGACCCGTCCTTCTCCCTTCTGAAGTCAAAAGGAGTTAGGCCATTGGTTTAAATAGGCGTAGGATCAGGCCCCTGTCTATAAAGTTCTTTGAAAAGATCCAGTGTTTTATAATAATAGCTTCCTTAGCATCTATGAAGATGGAGTTAGTAGCAGACCATGTCTTGGAACTTGCCTAGTGTACTTAAATAGAGCAAAATCCAAATGCACCTACCATTTTAGCTTTAGAAGTATGCATAATTAATACAGTATTTAAGGGAACCCTGCCAATAGGGTTACTAGTGACTGGATGCCAAGAGAACTGTGTGATACTCTCCCTGGGGTGTAATCTGGAACTGGGGTACCGCTGAGCCCTCTGGCATACCAACC